AAGACAGAGAGAAGGCTGACCAGAGTCATGACACAGTTCTAATGCTATGTTTTCTGCAAAATCGGATTAACTGCCATTTAGAGAATGAGAGCTGCCCAGCTGGGCCTTACATTCTTTCAATTAATACATAAACGAAAAGGGGGATATGCAGGGAACAGAAGGCCCATGGGAGGTGACCAACTCAGCATTCTGCTGGGGGCTATATGAGCAAACAGCAAACTGTTTATCATGAATGTAGGCTGTGGAAAACTCACACTCCCCTGACACCAAAGTATTTGCTGAGGGATGTCACTCCCTGGCTCCCGGGCTCCTTGACATTATCTACTGAGAAAATTAACGCCTATTGTTCAAAGGATGCAGTCTCTCAAGCCTGCTGTGAACCAAAGGGCAGGCTGACAATTACCCCACAATCACGTCCACTTCTCACTATCTCTTTTGTCTAATAAATACGGAGGGCTGTGTAAAGCTCAGGGCCCTTGTCCAGTAGAGGCAAGGTGCCCCCTGACCCCTTCTTCCAAATATACTCCTTTGTCTCTTGTATTTTATTCCCGCGTTCGCTCCCTTTGTTCAGTCCAATAGGTCTGCGACATAGTGGCACCCCCAACAGCAACAAAATTGGGCAATCGACATGAATGGAAGAGAGAAAAGTGTAGGACTTTGACATGGAGTAAGATTCAAATCTCAACCCTGCTACTGACTAGCTATGCGGTCTTGTCTATGTTGTTTTACTTCTCAGAATTACAGTTTTCTGAGGCTCCAAGGAAGACAATGGTAATATGTGCTTCTGAAACTGCTCCTATAAACTTTGTAAATTTAGGCCAGGCACAGTGGCTCATGCTTGTAATCCCAACACTTTGGGAGGCTGAGGCTGGTAGATCACCTAAGGTCAGGAGTTCACAACCAGCCTGACCAATTGGTGAAACTCTGTCTCTACTAAAAATCCAAAAATTAGCCGGACATGGTGGCATGTGCTGGTAGTCCCGGCTACTGGGGAGGCTGAGACAGGAGAATTGCTTGAACCCAGGAGGTGGAGGTTGCAGTGAGCTGAGATCATGACACTGCATCCCAGCCTGGGAGACAGAGCAAGACTCCATCTCGAAAAATACATAAAATTAGTCAGGGAAGGAGGGAAGGAGAAACAAAAACAAACCAAGCTGGCAGCATGTCCAGCATTCATCATTAAGTAGGCACACTCTCCAAACTGCTTCCTCACAGTTTGGTGCCTATTGTCCCAGAATCACTAGACCCGGATACAAGATTATAGTTCCCCTTAACTGCTCATTAAAACACAACTCGAACAATATGAAATGTTGTTTTCACCTTGAGATATTCCTTCAGGTTCTGCATACAGATGAAACTACTGATGCAGCTGACCTGAAGGACTCCCCAAGGGGCTACCTCACCAACATATAGTTTCCACTTTGTGATGATTTTATCCCCCTTGACCCAACCAACCAGCAACCCCAATTTTCCAGCCCCTCACTCTCCACAGTCCTCTTAAAGCCCCAGGCCAGAACTTCTTGGGAGATGGATTTGAGGGTTTCCTTCCACTTCCTTGCTGGGTGCCCTGTGATCATTAAACTCTTTCTTTGCTGCATCCCCGCTGTCTTAGTGTAATTGGTCTATTACTATGCAGTGGGCATACGAACCTGTTGGTCCCATAACATAACCCTTCCTTGGGTGGTCATAAGGACTACAAATACGGGATACCAAGGGCTACTCTAGTGCAAGGTTGCATCTCCTCTGTGCTGTGCAGAGAGGATAATCAATCTCTCTCCAAATGCAGTGTCCCATCTGTATTCAGGAATTCCTACAATTATGAGAAAAATATTACTCTTTGTTGTTATCATTATTTCTCAAGCATTATCCCACCTGACCAATGAAATGGAAGTTGTAGAGAAGAAAGTGGGCGACAAGTCCGTCTGTTTTTGTTTGTTTGTTTGTTCGTTTTTGAGAGAGTGTTGCTCTGTCACCCAAGTTGGAGTACAGTGACATGATCTTGCCTGGCTGCAACCTCCACCTCCTGTGTTCAAGCGATTCTCCAGCCTCAGCCTCCTGAGGAGCTGGGATTACAGGTGCGTGCCACCATGCTCAGCTAATTTTTGTATTTTTAGTCGAGATGGAGTTTCACTATGTTGAGCAGGCTGGTCTCGAACTCCTGACACCAAGTAATCTGCCTGCCTTGGCCTTCCAAAATGCTGGGGTTATAGGCGTGAGCAACCACCCCCAACTAAGTCTGTCTGTTTTTAACGTACAAAAAAAATCCAGAAGAAATTACCACCAAATGGATAACAATGACTTTTGTTTTTTATATTATACACATCTGTATTGTCTGAATTATTTGATAAAAAGCATTTTTAAATTACTTGTTTCTTACTACTTTATTGTTTTAAGTGAACTGTTTCCCTCCACAGTTAGATCAGAACTCATTGAAACCTAAGATCAGAGAACTGAATTGAATAGAGTATTTTCTTAGGGAAAGCAATGAAAAATATTTTTCCTTGATCCTTTATTCCATATTCTAACCTTCTGTGTGTGATTATATAACAGCCATGATTAACTTAATCACCATGACTTGACAAACTGCAGCCTTTAAGACTGACTGAGTCACAATGATTGGGAAACACATTTTATTTCTCCTGGTGCTGCCAAATATTATCCATATCTTCTATTTAATGATGAGTGAGTAAATATGTAAGCCACTCTGTGTCTCTGGCACCTTTTTTCTGTTATTCTTACATTGTAAAGACTTTTTATGCCTGCAATTTTATTAACACTTCTAATATCCAAAAGAAACAGAGTGATTCTATAACAAGATATTTCAAAAGAAAAAAAAAGAGAAAGGGAATGAGATATGTAACCCAATACTGTTTCTATACATTAAAAGTATATGCCCACAGTGCACATTATGTAAGAACATGGGAAAAAAAAACCACAAAACTCTTTGCACATCAAACAAATCACAGTAGTTACCTACAGTAGGAGAAGAAAAGCAGGGAATAGAGTTATTTTTATTTTATTTTTTTCCTGAGACAGGATCTCACTTAGACACCCAGGCTAGAGTGCAGTGCCACGATCGCAGCTCGCTGCAGCCTCCACCTCCCAGGTTCAAGCTGTGTTGCCCAGGCAAGTCTTGAATGCTTGGCCTCAAGTGGTCCTTTTGCCTTGGACTCCCAAAGTGCTAGAATTACAGTCGTGAGCCAAAGCACCCAGCCTGGGAATGGAATTTTGTTTCGTTTTATTTTAAGTTACATAAATTAATAAGGGAGAGAGAGTGAGTGAGAAAGGAAGAATTTGGCAGACCAGTGGGGTAAAGTGCCACAAACTCTGATGAGTATAAAGAATTCAACTCTCAGCATTTTGTTTTTAGGGTCCATCCAAGTCGCTTTTTGTACATCGATCCCAGTGCTTCTGATGCTGCATATATCCCATGGTATGCATCCACCACACTTGGTCCACACACTCTGTTCTGGGCTGGACTGTGTCTTCCCCAATTTCATGTGTAAAAGTCCCCAAGTCCCAGTACTCAGAATGTAACTGTATTTGGAGATAGGGCCTTTCAAGAGGTAATTAAGGTTAAATGAGGCCATATTAGTGAGCCCTAATCCATTTGACAGTATTTGAAGACAAGGCATTGGAAGATGTGATTAAGCTAAACTGAGGCTGACAAGTGGGGCTCTAATCCAATATGACAGGTACCCTCACAAGGAGAGACATTGAACCGGGTGTGGTGGTGGGCCTGTAATCCCAGTTTCTAGGGAGGCTGAAGGACGATCACTTGAGCCCAGGAGTTCAAGGCTGCAATGAGCTGTGATACCCACCACTGCACTCCAGCCTGGGTGACAGAGCGAGACCTCAAAATAATTAAAATTAAGTAAATAAATTAAAGACATTGAATCTACATAATGACTGGGAGTTAGGCATTGTTCTTATCCCGGTGTTGCTGATGGCTGAACTGAGTGAGGTAGAGAGAAGGTAAGTAAGTCTTTGAAAGCTACACAGCTAGTAAGTGGCAGGTGCAGGCTTCGAGCCTGCAGCCGTCTAATACCAACCACTTAGCTTCACCTTCAACCCCTGCCTGATACCACCTCTCCTTGCAGAGGCCGGGTCAAGGCCTGATGTTTGCTAGGATGTGACTTGTGGGGTGCCTCAGTGGCAAGAGCGCTCACTCCTGCCTGGGGGCGTCTGGCAAGGGTTCCTAGAGGTGACCTTGAATTGGCTCCTAGAAGGCGAGTAGGTGTTCAGCTGGCATACTGGGGACGGACATGCAGAGTGCCTGCACCCCAGCCCTGGGCGAAAGCTTGCACTGTGGGAAAGCGCCCTGGCTGACGAGGAGCCTGGGAATCGGAACCAGCACCCGGGGCTGATTAGGGCTGCGGCCGCCCCAGGCCGTGCCTTTGGCCCCTCCTGGCCTGCCCGGCAGGTGCTTCGGCTTGTTCCCCCACGGGGCATATTTCCGCAGGGCTCCAAATTAGGACCCCAGGCGCAGGTCCAGTGTCACCCGGACAAAGCTCTGCTAGGGGTTTTACTATCAGAAGTCCCCAACCCCCTACACACACAAACACATACACACATGCACACGCGCGCGCGCACATGCACACACGCGCACATATACACATGCACACACACGCGCGCGCACATGCACATAGGCACACACAGATAAGCACACACACACACAAACGCACTCAGATTCCCCGGACCCTGGTTTTCCACCTGAGACCTTTTCGGGGCGGGGCTCTCACCCTTCAGAAGCAGCCCCGCCTTGCAGTGGCCCCACCCTCTCCTGGGACCTGTCATAAAGCGGTCCTCGGGCGCCCGGCCGCGCAGTCCCAGCCGCCTTCCCCAGCAGTGGAACCCTCCGGCTCCTGTGCGTAGGCCTCCTGTTTTCTTTCCTTCGCTTTTCTCCCTCCCTTAACCCCCTTGCTTTCTTCCTGCCAAGTTTCTAGACGCCCCAGCGGAGGAGGTTTGCGCTTAGCCCTCCTCCCCTTACGGCGAAATGACCGCTGGGTCTTGCACTCCGAGGATCTTGGGAACCGATGTCCCGACGCCTCCCGGCCCTGCAGTTCCTTGGAGAGCTTGGAGACGCGCGTGGGAGGGAATAGGAAAGCTTGGTTACAATCCGGGACACCCGGCAGCTGCCTGCACCCGGCAAGAAGCTGACCAGGGAACTTGCGGGACTGCACAACTCGGGAAGGGTAGAAGAAGAAAGATCCGGGTGGGGGTTTGGGAATGGGCACGCAGGCGGTAGGTGGCGAGTGGCGGGCGGCGGGGGTGGGAGCAAAGGGCGAGCGGGCAAAGGCCGGTCGCCGCGCCAGGCCCCCTCCTCGGGCGGACGAGACCTTCCCGGGACCTCGCCCCTCTGGGGCCAGACCCTTTCCAGAAGGGCTTCTGGACTTGTAGCGAGTTTGGAATGCCCAGCGGTTGCTTTCTAGGGAAAAGGGACAAAGATGTGTGGACACTTAAAAAGTTAAACTCATAGAAATAACAACTAGCATGTTGGTTGCCAGAGGCTGGGAGCGGGTTCGGGGATGAATGGGGGCTTATTGGTCAAATGGTACAAAGTTAGAGACGAGAGGAGTAGGTTCTGAGATCTGTTGCACTGCAGGGTGACTAGCGCCAATAATGTGTATTTCAAAATAACTAAGAGCAAACTTCAAATGTCTCACCATAAAAATGATACTTATGGTCGGGCGCGGTGGCTCACGCCTGTAATCCCAGCACTTTAGGAGGTCGAGGCGGGCGGATCATTTGAGCTCAGGGGTTCTAGACCAGTCTGGCCAATATGGGGAAACCCCGTCTCTACTAAAAATACAAAAATTAGCCGGGCGTGGTGGCGGGCGCCTGTAATCCCAGCTACTCAGGAGGCTGAGACAGGAGAATCCCTTGAACCCGGGAGGCGGAGGTTGCACTGAGCTGAGATGGCGCCATTGCACTCCAGCCTGGGCGACAGAGCGAGACTCCGTCAACAACAACAACAAAAAGTCTTAATTTAAAAAAAAAGAAGAAGAAGAAGAAGGAACAACCCCAGGCTGCAGATCGGACCGCCCCCCTGGCTCCCGGCCACCCGTGTCCCCTCCCCGCGGCACCGGTGGGGAGCTGGGGAGGTCAGCGGCAGCTCCAGAACGTTTGTTACTGGATTGTTTGTAGCGGATGCACACGCGGGAAGGCGCGGGTCCCAAGTGATGCGGCCGAGTTCAGTCCAAGCAGAACGTCCCGAACCCTCAGCTCGGGGCAGCCTTCATCATCTTCCCTAGATTTTGTGTAGTGTTTAAGCTCAAAATCGGTTTGGTGTGGAGTTTAAACTCAAATCCCTCCTGGGCCAAAGAAAATTCGCACCCGATGGCTGAGCGCAAGTGGCTCACACCTGTAATCCCAGCACTTTGGGAGGTGGAGGCGGGCGGATCGCCTAGGCAAGACAGTGAGGCTCCTCTCTAGGAGAGAGAGAGAAAAAAGTATTAAAAAAACAAACAAATAAACAAACAAAAACCGCGCCTGAAAATGGGGCGGAGTAGCGGCGCCCCCCGGTGGTTTTCAGGAGTTCTGAGACTGCCTTGAAATGCCTGGCTCCTTCTTTCTGAAAGAGGTGCATGGACTTCTTTCTATTGGGTTCTTTGTGTTTGATGCTTTTTCTTAGAATTCACTCCATGTGAGATGAGACACGTAATGGAATATTCACACTCCCCGTAACTGTTCAGTGCCATAACGAAACTCTAGCCTAGCAGTGGCTGGGAAGAATTTCTTTGCTGATTTATATTTTTTCCTTGTCTTGAAGATTTCTTTTTTTTTTTTTTTGAGACGGAGTCTCGCTCTGTCGCCCAGGCTGGAGTGCAGTGGCCGGATCTCAGCTCACTGCAAGCTCCGCCTCCCGGGTTCACGCCATTCTCCTGCCTCAGCCTCCCGAGTAGCTGGGACTACAGGCGCCCGCCACCTCGCCCGGCTAGTTTTTTGTATTTTTAGTAGAGACGGGGTTTCACCGTGTTAGCCAGGATGGTCTCGATCTCCTGACCTCGTGATCCGCCCATCTCGGCCTCCCAAAGTGCTGGGATTACAGGCTTGAGCCACCGCTCCCGGCCTGAAGATTTCTTTAAACCTCAGTTTCCTCATCCATACACTGGCAATGATACTAATGTCTATCTTACAGGGAAGTTATAAGCATAAAATGAGGTACTCTATATGAAGTGCTTAGCACAGCACCAGAAACATAGTAAATATTAAATGAATGTGATTGGCGTTATCTGATAATGATGGGATTTGAGGATATTGTAGTTGTGCTATCTGGGCTCAGTTTGATGGCAAGGGAACTGTTAGAATGCAGTCATTTCATGGCAGTTGACTACATATTTACTGTGTTCTAGGAGCTTCAGGATGGTTCGTACTAAGATATGGACCCTGAAGAAGCACTTTGTTGGCCATCCTACTAACAGTGACTTTGAGTTGAAGACAGCTGAGTTACCACCCTTAAAAAATGGAGGTAAGTCATACTAAAAATATTTCAGAGTTGGCAGGGACTGTATCAGTTAGCTTTTGCTGCATAACAAACTACCCCAAAGTCTAGTGACTTTAAGCAACAATGGTTTATTAGTCCACAATTCTTTGGGTTGACAATCTGGGCTGCGTTAAGCTGGGTGGTTCTTCTTAGGTCTCATCTGGGATAAATGGTGAATTTAGGATGGGCCTTGCTCACATGTCTGCTGGTTAGCAGGCTTTCTCTTGGGGTGCATGCCTTAGTTCTCATCTATGTGGTCTTTCTAGCAGGCTAGTTTAAGCTCTGTTCTTATAGTGGTCCCATAGATCTAGAGCAGCAGGAGTTGGCAAGCTCCAATGGGCAAGCAGTTTTTTTTTTTTTTTTGGAGAAAGAGTCTCGCTCTGTTGCCCAGATTGGAGTACGGAGGCATGATCTTCGCTCATTGCATCCTCTGCCTCCCAGGTCCAAGTGAGTCTCCTGCCTCAGCCTCCTGAATAGCTGGGATTACAGGTGTGCGACACCATGCCCTGCTAATTTTTGTATTTTTCTTGAGACGGAGTCTTGCTCTGTCACCCAGGCTGGAGTGCAGTGGACCAATCTTGGCTCACTGCAACCTCTGCCTCCCAGGTTCAAGCGATTCTCCCTGCCTCAGCCTCCTGAGTAGCTGGGATTACAGGCACCCACCAACACACCCAGCTAAGTTTTTGTTTGTTTGGTTTTTTTTTTTGTATTTTTAGTAGAGACGGAGTTTCACCATGTTGGCCAGGCTGGTCTCGAACTCCTGACTTCAGGTGATCCACTCGCTTCGGCCTCCCAAAGTACTGGGATTACAGGCATGAGCCACAGTGCCCGGCCTTAATGTTTGTATTTTTAGTAGAGACGGTGTTTCCCCATCTTGCCAGGCTGGTCTTGAACTCCTGCCCTCAGATGATCAACCCGCCTTGACCTCCCAAAGTGCTGGGATTAAAGGTGTGAGCCACCACGCCCCGCTGTGCAAGCGCTTTTCAAGCCTCTACTTGTGCCACATTTGCTAATATCCCACGGTGAAGGCAAATCACAAAACCAAGCTCAGATTTGAGAGGCAGAAAATAGATTTCTTGATGGGAAAAATGGCAAGGAGACCAGCACACAAGGGTGGGACTTATTTGTGGCCATTTTGCAATCTGCCACAAAGACCTTTCCAGGGTTTTCTGTGTGAAGCCTCGATGTCACGTGGCAGGATTCCCCTGCTTTCATTGATAATTGAAATTCGTGCTTGAGTGCATTACTCTTCCTGGCTTTGACCAGACTATGGGGAGGATGTCCTCTGTATCCTCATGAGCCTGATGATGGCAGTGAGGTAAGCACTGCCCAGTAGCTATATGAAGAGTTCAGACTATAAGAGGAGTCTCTAAGGAGTGTTTACAGGTAGGTATAAGCTTTTGAGAAAAGGGGATGCAATCAAGTAGCATGGCAAAGTGATCAGTCCCATCTAAGCTGTGATGGCCATGACTCAAATTCAAAATTCCAAAGAATGTGTACATGAGAGTCACTCCAGCAAAATGCATGTTCTCTAACACTAACTGGGGCTGGTGGTGAAACCACATGGTGAGCACTGGAACATAATGGTTTAAATGTGGCCTTGGCCAAGTTACTTAACCTTAAATAAGATGGAAACAATATTTGTTGAATATTAAATGACATAATTCATGTAAAGCATGGAATGAGTGCTGAGTAAATAGCGTTACTATGATGATGATGATGATGATGATTATTATTATTATTAACTGGGCTGGGCCAAAAACGAGAATGCCTTCTTGTTCTCAGATAGGAAGACACAGATAGGAAGACATTCCTGAAGCAGAAGTATTATCTGTGTTGTTTTAGAATACCAAAAACAGGCTGGGCGTGGTGGCTCGTGCCTGTAATCCCAGCGCTTTGGGAGGCCAAGGTGGGCAGATCTCTTGAGGTTAGAAGTTCAAGACCAACCTGGCCAACACAGTGAAACCTCGTCTCCACTAAAAATACAAAAATTAGCCAGTTGTGGTGGCAGGCGCCTGTAATCCCAGCTACTCAGGAGGCTGAGACAGGAGAATCACTTGAACCCGGGAGATGGAGGTTGCAGCGTGCAGAGATCAAGCCACTGCACTCCAGCCTGGGCAACAGAGCAAGATTCCATCTCAAAAAAAAAAAAAAAAAATGCCAAAGGCATCAGGCTTTGAGTTCTGTTTTTTTCCTTCAACTTTCATTTTAGTGTTAGGGATACGTATGCAGGCTTGTTATATGCGTAAATCGCATGTGGCTGAGGTTTGGTGTACGAATGATCCTGTCGCCCAGGTAGAGAGCATGCTACCTCATAGGTAGTTTCTCAACCTTTGTCCCGGTCTCACCCTGCCCTGTCTCGTGGTGCTCAGTGTCTATTGTTCCTCTCAGGCCTTGAGTTTCTAATTGCCTATGGTATGCTTTATTTTGTAGAGGTCCTGCTTGAAGCTTTGTTCCTCTCCGTGGATCCTTACATGAGGTATTATTTATTTCCCCCCTCAAAACACTAATGCTGTGTTACATGCTATTTGGAAGTAGTTCATCTTTTAAAATAT